GCTAGGTAGTACAAACTTTGAATTTATCTCTCATAATGCATTGCATACATGCTAGGTAGTACAAACTTTGAATTTATCTCCCATAATGCATTGCATACATGCTAGGTAGTACAAACTTTGAATTTATCTCTCATAATGCATTGCATACATGCTAGGTAGTACAAACTTTGAATTTATCTCTCATAATGCATTGCATACATGCTAGGTAGTACAAACTTTGAATTGATCTCCCATAATGCATTGCATACATGCTAGGTAGTACAAACTTTGAATTTATCTCTCATAATGCATTGCATACATGCTAGGTAGTACAAACTTTGAATTTATCTCTCATAATGCATTGCATACATGCTAGGTAGTACACACTTTGAATTTATCTCCCATAATGCATTGCATACATGCTAGGTAGTACAAACTTTGAATTTATCTCTCATAATGCATTGCATACATGCTAGGTAGTACAAACTTTGAATTTATCTCTCATAATGCATTGCATACATGCTAGGTAGTACAAACTTTGAATTTATCTCTCATAATGCATTGCATATATACTCAGTAGTACAAACTTTGAATTTATCTCCCATAGTGCATATATACTCAGTAGTACAAACTTTGAATTTATCTCCCATAATGCATTGCATATATCATGGAAGGTACTAACGGAAGGAGCCACAACGCCAATCAAGTGGCCACTTAAGCCTCTTAACTGGCTTATTTCCTTTTGTTTCAACCCAAATTAATCCTGATAAGGACATTGTCTAGCTCATCTTTGATGTCCATGATAGTTTGCGATTGTTTACACAAGTAACAAGTTAGTGGAATATGATGCAACCCCGCCATTTTTTTAATGTGACTATAAAATATATGCGCATTATGAAACTACAGTTATCACACATGCGCACTGGGTTTGTTTAGGTGTAAAAGGTCAAAATACGTATTTCACAACCGGAAATTCAACTGATGAACTGACTTCACAAATTTCCCATGTTTTAAATATTAGCAACTGTAACTAGAACAAGATTTCGAGTGCATACAACAACAATTCCTAAGGACTCCTAAGAAATATTATCACAGAGAATGTGTCGAGACATGCTCTTCTTTCGATACTATCTTTTCTGTTGGTGTTCGCCAATGTCCGGTGGTGAAAAATTTCGACAGTTTCAGGCGCCAAACCCACGCACTGACAATGGTACCATTGAATAATGCAATCGTCACAAGCAATCATTGATTAACTCTCATTACCATTACAAATACAAAATTCACGATATTTCATCAGAGTTTCTTCAATCAATGTTATATCTGACAATTTTCCATTAAAGTTCGCCATTTTCAATAGTGTACATGCGAGGTACGACAATCGCTTCCGAACATGCTCCGAATATTACTGAATGCTCAAGATTAGCATAACCCATTGTACGAAAGTGTTAAAAGCTAACAAGAACAATGTTTGTGAACAAACATTGACAAACGATCATGGGGTAAAGCTAAAACAATAGCTTCGTACAGTAGTATACAGTAGTACAAATTTTGAATTTAGTTTAAAGATGTGAAATGTTGTTCCTAACATTCACATTAATAAACTGAGAACATTTATGAAATTGACATTCAAACTGAGAATTATTAGAAACAGACCTTTTCTTTCGGCATCCACATGGGGCCTGCCACCTCTAGTGTGTGGTGGAGGAGACATCGGTATAGATTCTCGCCTCGGCAGGCTTGGTTGCAGAAACACCGGAACTGATCCACGTGCTTGGTGTTGATTCATATGCAGGGCAACTTCAAACCAGTCATTTTGAAACGTGTTAAAGTTGCTGTATTTTTTACTGTATCTCCAATGTTGACTGGAATCTGATGATAAAATCAAAATAAATTCGGAGCTCTTAACAGCTTTGACGATACTAGTGTAAAATTCTATATTTTCGCTTCAAATTAATATTTGCTGAAGAAATAATTCAGTGAAAATAAAATCCACCTTTTTTCCTATATTTTACATTCATCTTATCAAAAATCAGTGAAAATAAATTTCATACAAAACACCCAAAAAGTCTTTTCAGCGAAAAATTATTCCAGCTAAAATAAAGTATTTTACAGTATTTGATTTTACAAATGAGATAAACACCACTTTTTTAATTATTTTTTTTTTAAATTTGAGGTGACCATAATCATTTGTTATTCCAATACAACTTACCATCTTTTTCTGGTGTTATAAAATAGAGATAAAATCCATTAACAAAAGAATGGGATGGGATACAGGAGGCATGGCAAATTAACTCGTCTTCTGTCATTTTCTAAAAAAAACAAAAACAAAAAATCCAATATATCACACCCAATGATCAGTAATAAACCCTGGTCTGCCACTTCCTGCAGCAACATTTTTACCAATATCCTTCTGTTTTTAAAAAAAACATCTGCAGAAAACCATATTTATATTTCTCATATTGGAAAACCATCAAGAGCCCTCCTATCTTCAGCAATCCACCAGATTTGTATAATAAAATTATTTATTTATTTATTCTGTTGACCATCAGGAATAAATTTCCCAATTACAGGTTCCGCAACAAACAAACAAACAAACAACCTAACAAGACAAACTACTTATAATACTAAAAATACAACAATTAATAAGACTATCTATAAAAATAATTCAGAAATGCAGATTTAAATTTCCTAAAACTACTAAATATATCTATATTAAAATCCTGTTTTGATACCTCATTAGAACGCTCGTGGAAGAAAAGAATGCTTGCGAATATTATTTCTAAAGGAATGGATACGAAAGTCTAAAAGTACATTGAAAGGAATGGCTGACGTCAAATATTCAATCTACATTGGCGTGCATGTATACACTTGTGCAGAAAACAAAGGTCTGCAATAGTTCTACGTGTGAATAATGGTGGTAATTTAAATAAAGAGAGTTCAGCCATAGTCATCTTGAGTGAACATATATTAGGCATTTATAATGCTGGAAATCAGTGTGAGAGTTCATAACCGAGATTGGCCCACCATTGTAGCGCTTGTCGCTTTCATATATCATACAAATCACTCATGAATTATTCATGCATATTTGTATTCAGAATTATGAAAATGCAGAATAAAATAGCAGAAAATGCAAAAATAGAACTTAACATTTTTCTATTTTCTCATTTGTTTCGAAATTACGTTCTAATTTCTGAATACCGGAAAGAACCAGATCGCATTTTTTTTTTCAAGATAGCTAAATTATTATTTCTTTTCCAACTATCATGTAGATATCTATCTCAATCAATGCGGAATGGTGGTGAGCGTCGTCTGAAAAACTGTTTTGTTGTGTATGTTCCACTAAATTCGATTATTCATTGGTTCAAATATTTTTTTTACCGAAAAAGGCTTTCTGTGTTTACACAGAGATCACGTGACTATACACGTCCATACAAACACTTTCTTGTCGATTTCATATCCAGTGTGAAATAAGCTTTCCATCAATATATAGCTTTGTGTTGTTCAGTAAATATTTTATATGAAAATATCAGTTTAGAAAATCAATACCAAAAACGTATCCTTAAAAACAGCATCCTTAATGGCATCCAAGTTATATTTTATTTGTAACTAACATGGAAGCACACTTCATAAATACTAACAGCATTTTAGTTGCATACATTGCCAAGCTACATACCTGAAATATTTCCACAGCTTGCTGTTCAGTAGTATTTGGAATAGTCTGCACTAGCCAGTACACAGCTTCAGCACTCATGAAGGAATTTTTTGGCAAAAGTCTCTGGTCGGTTGGTAGAAAGGTCATTCCAATACTGATTGAAAGAAAACAGAAAATCCATTAGGTTTCACAGAAATTCGCAAATAAATGTCAATCACCAGTTTACCTTTTCACCACCAGTTGCCTCTTTTCATCACAAATTAACAAAATAGTCCCGCTTATAGTCTGCACTTTTCTTTGGAAGATTGGGACAAAAATTTAGTTTTTGAGTAAAAACTGAAAATTGCCACACATTTTGTCTGTTGGCTCCAAAATTAGAATTTATCACTAAAAATATTGAAGGATATAAAAAAAGTGTAGAAAAATTTGGGCGAGAAAGTCTGCTGGTGGAAAGGTTAATGATAATTGTTCTATGAAGAGAAAACAACAAAGCAATATGTTGTTTTTTTGGGTAAAATTATTTTATTATCAGTATAATAATGATATAAAACGTTATTAACCTCCTCAATGAGG